AAGTTTATAGAACTGTAAGAAACCTTAGTGAAATTTTATGGGATTCCACGAAATTTTGAGTAACTGGAAAAATTTTCAAGAATATTTTGTGAGATTTTGTGGTACTCCACGAAATTATGTGGAATTCGATAAAATTTTTAAGAATATTTTGTGAAATTTTGTGGTATTCCACGAAATTTTGTGAAATTTGGCAAAATTGTAAGAAATTGTTGTGAAGTTCTATGAGATTTTGCTAAACTTTGTGAAGGTTCGTAAAATTTTAAGGGATTCCACGAAATTTTGTGTAATTTGATAAAATTTCCAAGAATATTTTGTGAAATTTTATGGCATTCCACGAAATTTTGTGAAATTCGGCAAAATTGTAAGAAATTTCTGTGAAATTTGTGAGATTTTGCTAAATTTCGTGACAGTTAATAAAATTTTAAGAAACCCTAGTAAAATTTTATAGGATTACACGAAATTCTGTGAAATTTTACGAACCTTGATAAAATTTTACGAAACGTTAATGAAATTTCGTGGCACATTCGCCGGAATTTTATAAAATTTTATGAAAGTTGTTAAAATTTCCAGGAACTTGTTGAAACTTAGCAAAATTTTGCGAAGTCACGAGACTCGAAAAGGCACTTTCATCGTCCGCGTATCTGGAAAATGAGACGCTTATGGTACACACGAGGGTACCCGGTGTCATGGTGGTAGGTTAAGAGGAATATGTTCTTTCATATTGCAGCGGTGCTTTTGGTATTTATGAATGGGCTTTCGGGTTGCAGCTGAGCGGTGCACACACTTTGACGCTTTGGAAGAATGGTACACTTAGAAGTGGGGATAAATATTTGATGCGGTAAATGGAACACTCTTGGTTGTGGTATAGTGGTACTTTCGTGATTGTAAGAGGAACGTCTTCTTTTACTTTCTGGGCCTCTGGTATTGATATAGGAGAGGGTATTTTAATTTCGAAAGAAATGTTTGGATCACGGTTTTGGTACTTTCGGTACTCCATGATGGATCAAAAAATGGCCCTTCTGACTTAATTTTCCCCTCTTCCTCTTTATCTTTTTACTCTCCTTATATTTTCCACGTTGCAAAAATAATAACTAAATCATACACGTCTCCCCGTAATTAAAAATTAATTACAACACGAATTAAATTTTCTATTACTTTACAGGAAATTGTTATATCAATGGAATGGAAATAAATGGTAATCTAAAGTAAATTATGAATTCATTTTCTGTGGGTTTTTGATTTAGGTCACTTATGGCAGTCTGGTATCACACGAAGAACGATCTTATATTACAGGAGTAATTTTGAACTCGAGAAAGAGGCATTTCCCTTTTAGTTCGCCCCATAGTAATCTCCATTCAAGCCAGCGGATAAAGTGCCATTCTTCATACCACAATAATGTCATCGTCCTTTTACAAGCAAAGTTATTTTCCCCGTGCTACCATCTTTATTCCTGAGAACCCTTTTCCTGTACCATACTAGTATTTCTGACCATAAAATAAAACCATAAAGCCTTCATCGCTTCAAACGGAATACCAATATCCTTATTTATCCATTTTCCATAATTTCTGAAAAATGCTTAGAGTTAATTTCAAAGAATTTAAATGCTTTTCAGAAATTATGGCAATATTTTTTCTTTTTACCTTGAGAATTAATTAAGAACCGTATTGGTAGAATTAATTTCAAAGAATTTATTATTACGATATAATTCCCAAGGAAAAATAAGTATATTATGAACCCCCAAGAAGTATCTCTTTAATGTTACCATAAATTTTTCTATGTTTCGAACAAAATATTAATATTTTATATAATCGTTATTTAATCGTTTCTAATATTATCGAAGAAATATTAAAATCTGTTTAAATTTATTCCATCACTATGATTTAATATTATAATTAAGAAAAACATATATTTTCAACCCCTAAAATGTGTCCTTCTCATATTACCATCAAATTAAAAGGAATCTGACCAAAATATCTTATTTAATGGTTTTTGATATCATCTAAAAACGCTTCAAATTTTAAACATTATTTCCATCGCTATAATTTAATTCCCTGGGAAGAAGAAAATACTTTCAACCCCCAAAAAGTGTCCCTCTCATGTTACCATAAGATTAAAAAGAATCTCACAAAAATATCTTATTTAATCGTTTTTGATATAACTTAAAAACGCTTAAAATTTTTAAAATTATCTCTAAGGCTATAATTTAATTCTCTGGAAAGAAGAAAATACTTTCAACTCCCAAAAACTGTCTCTCTCACGTTACCATAAAATTAAAAAGAATCTGACCAAAATATCTTATTTAATCATTTTTAATATCATCTAAAGCGCTTGAAATTTTTAAAATTATCTTCAAGGCTATAATTTAATTCCCAGGAAAGAAGAAAATACTTTCAACCCCCCAAAAAGTGTCCCTTTCACGTTACTACAAAATTAAAAAGATCCTGACCAAAATATCTTATTTAATCATTTTTAATATCATCTTAAAATTTTCAAAATTATTTCCATCGTTATAATTTAATTCCCTGGAAAGAAGAAAATACTTCCAACCTCAAAAACTGTCTCTCCAATATTACCACAAAATTAAACAAATTTCGAACGAAATATCTCAATATCTAAATCATTATCTAAACACTTTTAATATCAGCCAAGGAATACTTCAATCCTGTCAAAGCAGCTTCAAAACTGAAATGAGAGTCTCCAGAAGAAAAAGGGATCCAGGAGAGCGAAAAGATGCATTGACCCCGAGGAAACTTCAAAGGGCAAACGATTAAAAATGTTCTTACAATGAACGATCTGGAATTCAAGAAGAAGCTGACGGAATCGCGATATCGGTCAACGAGTTCGGGCTTAAGAGACGTTATCGTCGAAGCCATCCTGTCCACGAGCTTCTGTTCGTCTTGGAAGAGAAAATTAGCCGCAGGGTGGAACAGGGACTTGCAGCGTGCCCCGAAGTGCAGAAGAGAAAGACTCTGGTCCAGGAATCTTCCCGAATAGCAATCGAAACGTCCGTTCGAAGGACCTTTACCCTTTGATTGCAGCTCTTCGGCTACGTTTCACGTTTTGCTGGTCAAAGGACGCGCATAGCTCGCGAATATTTCGCGATCGTGGCTACGAGCCCCTAGCTCGACCTTTGTGCATCACGGCAGAACGGAGATTGGAGAAGAACGAGGAAGAATTCCAGATCGGACAGTGGAGACGTGATAGGAGACATTTTGATTGAAAACAGGGGAAATACTACAATTTTATACGTAGAATGTTTCAAATTGATATTCAGTGCGACGTCAAAACAGCGATCTTAGGATTTTTTCTGACGTGGTTTAGATTGGATCAATGGATTCCGAATGGACCCAAATTGCATTTCATACACTAGCCTAATGGCTCATAGTTGGGACTCTAATGAAACAGAATATAGAATCTAGGTTGATAATGTGGATAAATATGGACACTAATATCTTCCACATTTTTCAACAGTTGACACATTAGCATATTTACATAAAAATATTTAAACAATGAAAACAACTCGCGATCAACTATTTTAAATAGACAAAATTCATTGATACTTTCTAGAAAATTCTTCACTCTCTCTCTCACACACACACAATCTTATTAACCGTTTCCTCTTTGACGATTCTCACATAATTGTTTTATTCGGACACATTCTTCTAAACATTTTCTCAAACATCATTCATACTAGACTACACTCGCACATATTATATTTATATCATTGTAAATGAATTTATTTATTCAACCTTATTCGCATTTACACATATAAAACCAACATTCACAGATTAATAGATTGTGGAGAGTTAAAAATATTGCGATCAAAATTACTCTACTATTTTGATTTTTGACATATATTAGGATAGTTTTGATTTTTAAAATTTCCCTCTTTATTTGAAATCGTAAAGAATTTTGCAATGCTTTTGGGCACTTTGTTATTGATCTTCTGTGGACCAATTTTACCCTAAATAGCTCATAGGTGGCCAGTTTTGTAACCATTTTTGAGGTTTTCTAAAGCAATAACCTGTCAATCATTATATATTGTTATTAAATTAAGTTAAATCAGAGAAGATTATATTTTATACTTAGAAATTAACAAAATAATCGGGACCAAATGGACACAGGGCTGTAAAAGGTTAGCAGCCAGGAATATCCATGCAAAACCAACACTAACAGATAATACGACTGCGGAGAGTTAAAAATATTGCGATCAAAATTTCTCTACTTTTTCGATTTTTGACATATATTAGGATACTTTTAATTTTCAAAATTTCCCTCTCTATTTTCAAACGTAAAGAATTTTGCAATGCTTTTGGTCACTTTGTTATTGATCTTCTGTGGACCAATTTTACCCTAAATAGCTCATAGGTGGCCTGTTTTGCAACCATTTTTGAAGTTTTCTGAAGCAATATTGTGTCAACCTTTATATTTCGTTATTAAAGCGGAGAAGATTATATTTCATACTTAGAAATTAGCAAAAGAATCGGGACCAAATGGACACAGAGCTGTAAAGGGTTAGCAGCCGCGAATATCCATCCCTGCTAAACGAGCGTGCGTATTTATGCAAACATTTTGACATTTAGAACTAAGCTAGGGTTGTTTATAAACGGAGGAAAAGTTGTCTTTAACGTTATAATTAGCTCTCGATAACAATAACGTTCTACTTTGCAATTCTAAATATGTATCGGTACAACCACCGTGGGAGCAAGAGGGTTAATCGAATACTAAACCCAAGAGTGGGTCACGAAGGAAACGTCTGCTACAGAAATCACGCTAAACAACGGTACACACAACCTCCCCTGTCTCCTTTCCAATTTCACCCTTCTCACCCTAGAAACCTCTATCTTCCTCCAAATCTTCCATCATTCCTGGTCACCTACTTGCAATTTCTTTCGCGAAAATCTCTCTCGTTACTCTAGACTACCCTAACTCTCATCGACGAAACTGGCTAGCTCTAAGATTGACAGAGAATAGGTAAGAGAAAGTGAATGCAAGCATACCGGCTTCCATGCGAGCTGGCGAGCCATCAGGCACGGTTCGGCCCTGGGACTTTGGCGTACCCTCGCTCATAATTTTGCCACGTCTTCGATCCTTGGATGATGAATTAGCCTAGCCTCTCGCAGTCACCCCTTTTGACAGCAGCGTCTTCTCGTCTTCTTGTTTACCAACTATCACCCTCTCTGTCTCTCTGTCCCTCCGTACCCCTCTATGCTTCCTTCCTGGCACTTTCAGTCTCCCTTTTGTTACTAACCCTCTTCTGGATATCTAGGCTTCCGGCTATCTAGGTAACTAGGTATTTGGCACTTTCGAAACGTTTCTACCTCGAACCCACTGTAGTCACTTTGATCAACAGAAGTCGAGTCACTAGAGATCTCGGAAGAGGGAATACACAAGCCGGGAGGAGTGACGGGTACACGCTCGCCGGGCCCGGACGAGTCTCGCGGAGGGTGTGTTGCCTCAACGCTTGAGCCTGATCTTCCGCATCCCTCCTTCCATAGCAGGGGGGCTTCGGTTACGCTTGTCTTGTCGCGGTGTCACAAGGTCACGGGATCAGCGAGGATCGGCTGGTCCAGATCGAAAGAGAGGAGCCGCACGCACGCAGCCAGTGCCGGCTGGTCGCTCGGTCGCGCACGCTCCTCTAATTAAACCACGCCGGAACGACGATCCCCGGAAGTGCGCGTCCGTGTTCGGGAGGATCGATCGTTCCGATTGCCACGGAGGCGCATCGACAGGTACACAGAACCGGGTAGTAGACTCCTGTCTTCGTCTTCCCTTCTCACTCCGTACCTTCTTCCACAGTCAGCCTCTCGCGGCAACTCCTTCGTTGCACGGAAAGTCGAGTCGAAGGCGCTCGTCTCCCCGAAGACTCCGTCGATACGCTAGAGCTGTACCAGCGATGCACAGCCTGCGAAGACCACGTCTCCTCCGAGACGCCGCGACGAAGCTGAGACGAGAAGGTTGGACGATTCTCGACGAAGCGGATTTCTCCGCTGGACTCGCAGCTAGCTGCAGGTCACCACCCCTGGACGCTCGTCTTCCCCGTGGCTCGGATGCTGCGGAGTGCTGGAGCACCTTCGCCACCCTCTACCCTCTGCCCCTTCTTTCCGCGTCCCTCGACCTCTCGCGCTCCTCCGCGCTCCCTCTATCTCGCCTTCTCCGTTCCACCCGCTGACGGCGCTCCGGTCGTCAGTCGGTCGGTCGGTCGGTCTGTCGGTGTGTCTGCTTCCGCTGTCAGCCGCCGCGGCTGGATTCGTCTCGGGCGTGGAACGCGGCCGACTACGATGGACGCGCGACGACCCACCGCACCACCACTACGGGACCACCGCACGACCACCACGACCACGACCACGACCACCACGACTCGAGGCTAGAGAGATAGCTTTCCCTCGCGGAAAACGGGAAAACGTCGACTGAGACGCGGCCGAGAAGAGGACGTGGCCCGAGAGGGCTTACTCCAACGAACACTCCCGGCTTTTCCAGGCCTCCTCTCCTTCCCTCCGCGTTGCGCACGCTCTATCCGACTCCCTGTCCCTGCTTCCCCTCTCGCCCTCCCGCGCTCTCTCTCGCTCCCTCTCTGCGCACAACCCTCTCTCGCACCCCTCTCGCACTATCGCCGCGTCTCTCCCTCTCGCCGTAGCCTTTCGATCTTCTCCTTTCATCTCGCCACTACTCTCTTCCGTCCCTCTTCCGACTCTCTTCTTCCTCTAACCTTCCACACACCCCTTCGCCACCCCCTCCCCCACGCGCTCCCATCTTCTCGCCCCGTCCCGCGTTGCGTCTACGCTTCTCCACGCGATTGTTAGTTCGCTCGCACTCGCGCGAGCCAGCCGCGTCGCGTCCCGGGCGTTCTCAGCTCTTTTCCACCCTCGGAGCGCGCATGCGCGCCTGCAACCCCGGGGATGTCCCCCTTTCTCTCCATGCGGGCCTCTCTGTCCGTCTTCCTCGCTCCTGCAGCCGCGCTGGCTGAACGGAGACCGAGGCTAGGATGGAAAAGGAGCGGGAAGAAACAGAGGCTGGTTGCATCCCCTTTTCTTCTCTCTTTTTCTCTCCCTTCATCCTGCCTCTTCTTTCCCGGATCCCTGTTTCTTCTTCTTCTTCTTCTTCTGCTGCTGCTTCTTCCTCGTCTCTCTATGGCTTTATCTCCCCAAGGTGGGACGAGGCTGCAGCATCCCTGTTGCTCGCTGATTATTTCTTCTCCGTCCCAATGGAGTTTCTTGCCACGGCTGCGTGCACGGGGTTGTTCCAGGTGTATTCTTTTCATCTGTTTGCTCTGTTAATTGTCCGCTGGTCTCAATCGGCCGGAAAGCACGATTTTCCGGATCCCCTGTCGGAATTCAACGAGATTTTCTCGCGCGTGTGTTAACGGGGGTGGCTCGTTTAAAATGCTTCCGAGCGTGCACCTTTGAATTCTTATCTTCCGTTCTTCCTGCCCCACATTTCTTTAAACTTACACGCATCTCGTGCGCCGGCTATCGCCGTGTCCCTTTGACTTTTATTTTATTTACCGCGGACGTGCGTGGGATTTCGTTTCCCGCTCGCGGGACTACCCTATCGTTTTATTTCTCAGCTCTCCCGTGCCCCGAGTATCTCTATGCTTCCTCGAGCTTCCGACCGCGTCTCGTTTTAATCGAACGTTCGCTGAATTATCCTCGCTTTCGCTTTTGTCCATGAATATCGGAGATCGAATATCGGAGGACGCTCTGATTAGGGTGATGAATGTTTTAAATCACTCGTCTCGAGTCACCGGAATAATCGACCGATAAGCGTCGAGTAAATTAAACTTAATTAATCCAAATTACTCGGATCGGTTTTCACTCTGAACTCAGCTTTATGCACGAGATTGTTCATCTAGTAATTAAGAACTCTGCCTTTCTTCACCGAGGTAATATATCTTGGCGTTAATTAGTGGTACGTGAAAATTAAAATGTTAGATTAAAATTGAAATATATTTTCTAAATATTTTACAGATTTCTTCGTTAAATAATTTTATGACTTTGAAGAATTATAATTGCAATAATAATTTTATAACGTTAAAGAATTTTAGAATTTCGTGGTTGATTTTATGATAGTGGTGTCGTAGAATAATACATTTTCTAAATATTTTACAGATTTCTTCGTTAAATAATTTTATGACTTTGAAGAATTATAATTGCAATAATAATTTTATAACGTTAAAGAATTTTAGAATTTCGTGGTTGATTTTGTGGTAGTGGTGTCGTAGAATGTGTGGTATGAGTGTAAGGAATGTTTGTGTGGAAGAACGTGTGTGCGACGAGTATGACGAAGAGTCGTGAAGAAACAATCAGTAGGTGAATGACAGTCATTACATGCAGACGTTGTGTGTGAGAGAGTCCTCGAGAGATTATATCGCAGTTAAAAGCGAATTTATTTTACGAGATTTAGTTATAATTTATGCGGGAGGAAATACGAATTCTTATTCCACTGCAAGTCGGTAACGTCCTGTGTTTATTTATCGACTAAGGATTTATGCAAGTATGAGTGTGCGTGTGCGAGGATGAACGTGGACGTGCATTGCTTGCTGTTATGGTTTTAGTTCTGAATAACATTTACAAGAACAAATATCGTGTGTACCGAATATAAACTGAAATAGAATATCAAGTAAAACTGCTGTGGTTAATAAGTAAAACCTATCTAAAATCCCATCATAATGTTGTGCTGTTATTGTATTCAATAAATATTCTTATCAGTTTATCCATTTATTCACAGATTTGTCTTTTAAATATATGGGTGTATCTGTATTGTCAGATGAATTTTTGAATTTTTAAATAACAGAAGCTGTGATAAAAATGTAATTTTTAACAGAGGGTTCCAGTTTTGCGTTAAGTTTACTTCTCGCGTCGAATTTGCTTTCTCTGGACAAAAACCTTTCTGCCTTTTACCTATGTATATGTCTCTGGAACACATGTAAATGGTCTTGCACCATCCTGCATAGGTATTCCGGTTCGATTCACCGCCGCTGTTGAATATTTTAACCACTGATCAATTTCAACCACGCTGGCGAAACAGAAACGGCCACTGCGAGTTGCTCGTGAAATTTCTACGAGTCGTTATTCGTCCTGTGAACGCTATTTTCTCTGTTCGAATCATCGTATCCTCTATTCTATCCACGAATCATTCACTGAATTTCTGCTGTTCTTATTCGAACTTATAGTTATTCAGTTTTACGACAGTCTTTCAGTCTTTGCATAATTCCCTTTGGTTATTTATTTATTATTATACGAGATATTCACAGGCAAAGCGACTATCACCAATTTTTGAATTTTTACAAATTTTAGAGGAAAGCACTCTGTGGTATTTATATTTAACCCTTTCGCTACAGCAGGCGTCGTCGTGAAGATGGAAGCGTTAGATCGTGCAGTTTTTAACGATTCGGTCTTTTGACGCAAATCTTTCGAAGGAAAAAAGAAAAGGGAAAACTGACCATCGCAATGCAGCTTGCAATTCGTTGAGAGAGAAGCTAAGAGAGCTAAGAGGAACGGTAGCATTTGTTTTAATTTTATACTCAATTTTTATGGCCAGTGACTATAGTCACCCGTAGGAGCGAAAGGGTTAAAATAAATTTCTGCGCTTTGTTTGACAAAGGAGTCAGTTTTGTACTATTACTTAGAGCATGAGTGTCCAACTAAGATAGGGCCCAATTTTATATATAAAATGTTAAATAAAAATGTATGGCCTAATATCAAATTAATTCCATGTTGGTGTCTTTATATTATTTTCCTACTTTTTTTATATTATTTTAATAAACAATTTAATAAACAGAATCATTATATTTTTATTTTATGTTATTTTAATAACCAGAATCACAGATTAATAAAATTTAAATAACTTAAATTACTTAAATGTGTTAATTACTACATATGTCTTTTTCTAATATAGCCCAGGGTAGTTAAAGGATTAAACACCCCTGATTTGGGGTATCTAGTCAATAACGAAAATACTTTTAATCTATTTTCACCATCGTAATAAAATAATAAATCTAGTATGCAAATTCCTGAATTTAACCTAGTCTTCTATCTTTATTCCCCTCGCGAAGATTTTCCAATGGATACGACATAGTCATCGCGAGGTCGGAGTCCGTTTAGACCGAGTTTGGTCGAAGAATAATTCAGAGAACAGGGAACGGGGTGTACGAAGATCGTTAGAGGGAAAATAACGCGTGAGAGGGGGTTGAACGAGGCGAGTCTCTGGTGCTCGTTTCCGGGCTGGGTCTTCCTCTGCCACCGTTTGTCTTCCGGTCGCAGCTTCTCTCTGTCGCACTCTGGCCCGTTCTTCTCGTTCATCCGTCAAACGCCAGCCCGTTTCGCTGGCAATTTTTCGAAAAATCGGACAACGCGACG